TATAAAAATTGTAAACATTATAATATTATTGGTACATGGTATAGTTCATAGGCACAATAAGTAGGCGCAACACCTGTATTTGTTGTCTCAGTCTTACAAACGTGTAATATAGCGAATTTACGCTCTGCAATTCATGTTTTACTCCGTTAGCTTAAAAATTAGAGTGAATAGACTAATTATGAAACTTAATGGTAAGAACATTATCTGTGATTTGTTGGAAGTATTTTTACGTTTATTCAGTTTTTAAGTGAATTATGCGCCTATAATTATGGTAWATTAAAAATGCTCATAACTTAGTTAAAAACTAAGTTATTGTAATGTTAAAATTGAGATAATGTTCTTACCATCAAGTTTCATAATAGKTCAATTTACTCTAATTTTTAAGSTAATGGAGTAAAACGTGTACTGMTGAGTGTAAATTCGCTATGTAACACGTTTGTAAGACTGAGACAACAAATACGGGTGTTGTGCCCTCTTAATTAAACTTATTCTTAACAAAAGATTCAACAATATAATTTAACTTTTCCTATTGTTCACTGGCGTTAACAATTTTGATACTATATGAGAATTTATCACAGAATGAACATTTTAGGAAATATAGTATAACAATAACATGGAAAGACATATATTAGTAGAACACGTCAGGTTAACTGACTTTGATATAACATGTTGTCGCATTAGCATCGCAATCCTCATACTCATTAATATGCATTAGTTCAGCTTTACTKAGGGTATCTAGTTGTACACATGCACAGCGTACTGACAACTTTCCATTTTCATCCAATGATTGAAATTTACGAGGTACTCCAATCCAATTCCTTTTAATACCACCACTATAAATGTATATAAAAAAAAAAACAATAACTAACAAAGTACTAACATCTAAAATAATTAGAAAATGTCTATATTCCTATTGATCAAACCTCAATKTAGTACACCAGACTTTACTTCTTTGATTTTCTTGAACATATTCTATATTACAACTCGGATATCGAACCATTTCTTCATTCTTAGCTACTTTAGCCATTTTACTTGATTTTATTTTTTCCAACACCAATTTATTATAGTCAGTTTCTTTACCAGATGAATCATAATAACGTCCAATTAATTTTCCTAAAACAACATATTAGTATAAAATACAAGGCAAATTAAATAATTATAACATAACTTKGGATGAAATAAGAAATTGAAAAGGTTGATGATATAAAAATATAAAATCCAAGTACCAATTTCTTTGTATTTTTTCTTATAAGTATTAATCCAAGTATCCAGTCCTATCAAATCATTTGGATCCATATCACTGACATGATCAGTTAGGTTTTCTTCGTCGAATAAGCCAGTAATAAATGAACGACTGGCATCACGACCTTAAAATATATTGTTTTACACAAAGTAAAAAAGTTAATCTTTAAATTTGAGTAAAACTACTTTAAACAAAAATATTTTTGAAATAAACAAAATTTAAAGAATAACTGAATTAAAATTATTTTTAACAGGTTCCTACTGCTTAGGTACATACCGGAAAATCCACTATACGAACCACCAGGTCCATAGAATCTTCTACCTTCTGTCACATCAAATACAATACCAAGAATGGATAAATATATTTTGCCTCCATCAACACCATTATACCGACTTAATCGAGTTGTATCGAAAAGAGAACATACTTTAGGGGTGTTGATTAAGAATCGTTCAAAAATTGCAAAGCTACACAGTAAGTTTTGAGCAGGCTCATAGAAAAATAGCATAGACAATATTAATACTATAATTGTTATACACGAGAAAAAAGTATTTTTTAAATTAAAACCCTCCATATTAACAAAAAAATAATATCGTTAGACGTTATTCGACTATAGAACATAACACGGTTTTAATAATAATAAGTAACAAGTAATATAGATTAAATATTATACTAGTTTATTAATTAATCTATTCAAGTAATAACTAATAAGTATTAAGTAATAACTGTTTATAATTTTACTAGCCTCAGTAGCCTCCGTGCTAGCTTATAATATTGTATTGTAATAACACCGAATAGTCACCGATGGTTCGGACAGCCACTTTGTGATAAGCGTCCAGTAAATAAGTATTGGACCGTGGCAATCAGAGATCAGCTGGTGGTTACCTAACCTAACCTGGAGGTATATTATTATTGTGGCATCATAGATAATAATATATTATCTATGAGTGGCAATGATAGTAATTTTGTATCACTCCATATTATCAACAGTTATCAGTTATACTTGTAACCACGATGACGTTGAGAAGATACATCTATACTTATCTATGATCGTGCTTATAACCTTGCCATGAATATAATATAATAAGGACTGGCCACTAGATAAGAAAAGTGAATTMTTACTGACACGTTACCAAACGGAATGGCCAAGGAGTCAGTGGGTTCGCCCTTTTCAATCTTTTTATTGACATTTCGATGATGAAATACACCAACGTATATTACTTWATATTTATATTTGTTATAATTTTTATTTTTTAGTCTCATATAAAATAAAAATTGGTCATATGAATTTATAACCTAATAATATATAATATTTTTGATATAATTTAATTTTCTGAAAAACATATAATATTGAACTATAAAACAAAAAAATCAAATGTAATAGTAATTTTCAAACATAAATTATTATTTATAACTTAATATTAGTAATAAGTTATAACTTTATTACCATTTTATTAAAAATAAAAATATTCAAAAAATAAACTTTTTGATCTAATAGTGATAAATTATAATTTATATATTAACCAACAAAAGTAAAGATAAACACTAACATTAAGATATTAATGTCATAAAAATCATAACATTGTACATTACTACTTTTTTTATAAATTTTGCTACCTTTTTTTAGATTCTGAACGAAGTGATGAATGTATTGATTTTACAATGATGTGTGTTTTTTTTTTGTGTCTGTATACAGCATAACTAGTCGATATAATACTTCGATTTCAAACTTTGGGGGTGGTTTCCGATGTAAAATTGAAGATCCTTGGTGCATTATAGAGGTCAAAAGT